GGGGGCCTGCTTTAGGAAAGGAAGGTGGTGAGCAGGTTTGTATGGACAGAGTGAAGTTAGTTTCCCATCTCTAGGGCTCGTGAGGATTTTTGTCTTTTTTTTTCTTTTTAGAGACAAAATGGAAAACATGGGGCTACTGGCTGGTCAGCACAAAACCTTTTTGTTTTTCTTCTTGTGATCTCTCCAGGTAGAAAGTTTCTGTTGCTTCAACAAGTGGGCTGGAAGGGCACCCTGTGACACTTACAGCTGCTGGTGTCACCTGCTCAGCTTCTGCTCGGCTTGCCTTCCTAGTTTCCCGCCACTCCCTCCACTGCAGAGACTGGAAGAGAGTCTGCCAGGCAGACTGGATTTACAAATGCCAGGGATGACCACTCTGCCAGAAGTACGGCTGCCCTCCCACAATCCTTGTGTGGTCTCTGCCTGGGCGAGTGTGTGTGTGTGTGTGTGTGTGTGTGTGTGTGTGTGTGTGTGCTCACTGTACCCACAAAGCGAGCATTTCCTTAATTGTTGATTATGAAAGAATTCATTACCTACTTCAGTCCTTTCTGCATCCTCTCTCTTACAATATACACATTTCACCTCTTTTTGCATTCCTGCTGACAGACTGTAAACTGCCTTTCTCCCACACCCAAGCATCCTTCAGAAATCTTCCACTCAGCCGTGCCTCTGTCCCAGACTCTTCACTCAGGGCAGTGTTACAGGTCCTGTGCTAGTGGGAAGGAGCGGTCCAGCCAGACCCGAAGACCCTACCCTTTCAGGAGGAGCAGTGCTGAGCAGACGGGCCAGCCACTTGCCAGCTGGATGTCTCAATAAGCTTTGAGATGGGCTGTGGGCCAGCATCGGCAGAGGCAGCTGAAGGGGGAAAGGCTGTGAGCGTTGTATCGTAAATCACTGCTGACCCACGGGGAGTGCCCGTCCTAGAAGCTAATGGCCTCGCCAGCAGAGAACTGACCAAAATTTTCAGAAAGAACATGATGTAAACCAGGGGGGATGGATTCCAAATGTGAGTAAAATCCCTCCCCAGGGTTTGGAGGAGTGGGAGAAGAGCTGAGCTGTCTCTTGGTTCTTGTGCGCTGTCTGGAGGATGAGAGGGTTGGGGGAGGGGGTGGGCTTGCATAATGCCTGGCTGGGGCATTTGTTTGAAGGGCTCAAGGTGACTGAATGTAGTGTTTTAGGATGTGGGCACCAGGAGACTTTGTTGCAAATAAATCCATGAGAAAACAGCAAATGCAAACCTTAAAGACCTTTTGCTGTTAACAGAAAACCTATGGCATCACAAACCAAGCAGCTGTGTGGAGCTGGCATTCGTGAGGAGACAAAAGAATCGGCAGATTGGAGTGTGATGAAAATGGGGTGGGGTTGGGGGGCTGGGAGGAGATAGAGGAATCTGCCTTAGCAAAGGAAATCCCTTTCCACTGCAATGTGCTCATTGTGAGCTTGTGAGTTTCTGTCCTTTCTGGTCAAAGAATGGGCAGCATGTTTGTTGTTTAAGGTTTTCCTCCAGTGCATTGTGAGAATTAAGCATTGTAATCAATAGACATAGAAGAAATCTCTCACTGCTACCAATAGGAAGTGTGTGTGTGTGTGTATGTGTGTGTGTGCGCGTGCGCGCGCGCGTGCTTGAACTCAGGGCCTGAGAGGCTTGAACTCAGGGCCTGGGTATTCTGGGTACTATTCCTTAGCTTAGTTTTGTTTTGTTTGCTCAAGTCATAGCTCCATTTTCAGCTTCTTGGTGGTTAATTAGTGATTAAAGTTCCACAGACTTTTCCTGCTCAGGTTGGCTTCAAACTGTGATCCTTAAATCTCAAGCTCCTGATTAGCTAGGATTATAGGTGGGAGCCACTGCCTACCCCCCACCTTGGAAATGTTTTCAGTGATAGCTATCTACTTGGAAGAGGAGGCTCAGATTTAATGAGGGAATGGGGCTATGACAGCCAGGTTACCCAACAGGTTGGCAGTAGAATTCAGTTCACTGCTTGTGGACTAGTTAGCACTGTTGTATTCCTCCTCTTCTCTCCATTCATTGCCGGAGCAGGGTACCTCTATCCCTCTTACCCTTGTCCTCCTGACTTGCTGGCTCCTAGGCATTAGATGAGAAGCAAAGTATCTTCTCACTTGGAGGGACCAGGAAGTAACAGGAAGCTAGACCCCTCCCCTACTCCATGCCCACTGTGTGGGTGACTGCACCTCTGGGTGAGCGCTGGAAGCCCTAGCAGAGAGACTACTAAAATTGAAAAAGAGCTTGAGATGTCTAAGCACACAAGAGATGGTGTCAGCAGCCCATGGGAATGAGAAGCCTGGAATTTAGCTTCAGATCTTCTGGCAGTTTTCTATACACTGGGGTGGGATGGAGAGGGGAACATGGGAAGGGGTGTGACCTGTCCCAGAAGCATTCAGTGTGTTGTGTGTGGTGGGATGGAGTAAGTAATTATAACTGAGAGACAGAAAATGAATGGACATTGCTAGCTAGCCAGCATTCTCTTACCATCAAAAACAAAAACAAGTGATACGGCAGAACTTGCAAAGAGCTGTTTAGCATTGTAGTTGTCTGAATGAAGACTATCTCAAGCCTGCAGCTCTGGCCATCAGAACTCGGGGGTTTGGTGTCTGTGTCTGAGAGGCTACATGTGTTGCAGTAGACAGGAAGGGGGGAGTGAAATGACTTAATCGGTTTTCCCAGAGCTGCACAGACCTGGCATCTTTTGCCACTGGAGTGTGACTTCAGCTGATGGCCTGTGCAGAGGCTGCAGCAGAGATCCTAACCCTTACAGCTGTGGAGTGGCATCTTAGTCATGTTGATGGATCTGTATGAACTGAACCATCATCCATGTCACAAATGCCCAGTGCAATCACAGTTACGGAATGGAATGGAGAAGAGGTATAGAGATAATAGATGAAGGGGAAGAATGTGGGGGTATGAGAGGAAGATCATTCAGGAAGTGAGAGCAGTGAGTGTATATTTCCCTGCATTTGGGCCTGTATTTGGACAAACAGAGAAGAAACTCAGTGTAATTAGGTTGGGTATATTGCATATTATCTGAATTAAAAGAGACAGTAGACCCTTTGTTGATAAAGACAAACCAATTCCATATAGATCACAGTGTGGACAACAGAAGGCTCAGCGGACCAGTTATTTAGCATGGCTTTGGGAATTTCCAAAGGCATTCCTAGTTCCATTTCTCGATGCTCTGAGTTTCAACTTTATTCTTTCATTGACCATCTGTGTGTGTGTGTGCGCGTGCGTGCGTGTGTGCATGTGCGTGTGCGTGTGCGTGTGTGTGTGTGTGTGTGTGTGTGTGTGTGCCGGTCCTGGCACTTGATCTCAGGGTCTGGGCACTGTCACTGGGCTTCTTCTGCTCAAGGCTAGCACTCTACCACTTGAGCCACAGCTCCACTTCCAGCTTTTTGGGGGTGGTTTATTGGAGATAAGAGTTGCACAGACTTCTTGCCTAGGCTGGCTTCAAACTGTGATCCTCAGATCTCAGCCTCCTGTGTAGACTGGCTTTTTGTGAGATGAAGAGCTTTCTCTTGTCTGAGTATATACCTTAGTGATACAGTGCTTGCCTAGCATGTGGAAGGCCATGGGTTCAATTCCCTGAATGGAATATATATATATATATATATACATATATATATATACATATATGTATATATATATGTATATATATATATATATATATGCGTGTATTTCCAGTTAGCCTGTCGAACAGAAACTGAGCAGTTTACCAGTTCTTTCTCTCTTTTCTTGTTTTTGGTGTCTGCATTTTGGGCAGCAGATGGAGAACAAAAAGAAAAAAAAAGATAAACAAGTTGGCAGGGGGTAGGGAGATAAGAATTATCTCTAAACTCACAATATTTACATTTGGCCACACTTTCCATAATGGAATACCATTTTTACTCCCACTGCAGTCCCGGGAGAGAATGTTCTAGATCGCTTCTATACAGGCATTTAACCTCAGTCCCTGCCCCTCAGCATAGTTGACCATTTACGTGACTTGGTTGGACCCAATCTGGCTCAGGCCTTTCTAGTCATGTCCTGGCCTATTCCTTAGTCTTTAGAGATGGAAAGGTTGTTGAGTTGGCCTGGAATCAATGGTAAGAGATGCTTCATCTTTCAGATCTTCAAATTAGAATATGTGCAAGGACATGATCAAGGTTGGAGGATGGTAAAATGGTATTCATTTGAGACAGCATTTTCTTTCCATTTGTGTACATTGGTATTTTTAACATGTACATCTTAAAAAGAAGTCCTTGTTCCTCTAGCAGAAGAGGATTAGATTGGTTTTTTGTTGTTGTTGTTTTGTTTTTTGGGTCCAGTCGTGGGGCCTGAACTCTGGGCCTGGGCGCTGTTCCTCAGCTCTTCAGCTCAAGGCTAGCGCTCTACCACTTGAGCCACAGCACCACTTCCTGCTTTTGTCTTTTTGCTTATGTGGTGCTGAGGAATCGAACCCAGGGCCTCAGGCATGCAAGGCAAGCACTCTACCACTGAGCCACCTTCCCAGCCTCTAGATTATGTTTTTGAAGCAAGGTCTTGCTATGTACCCCAAGCTGGCCTTGAAACTTTCTCTGTAGCTCAGTCCTCTAGTTTCAAACACAGAGTCCTCCTACCTTAGCCTCCCTGATGCTGGGAATCGAGATGTGAGCTACATATGAGGCTTTAGAAAGTTCATTTGATCCTTTGGTGGAGGGAACAGCCTAACTTTGATACTGAGCATGACCTACAATCAGGGCATGCTGTCTGTTGAGTGGCTTTAGTGGCCCATTGATTTTCTTCCATTAAGCAAGGAAACTCCTTGCCACTTTCTTTCCAACATGGATGGTTTTAGCTAACTGAAACCAGAAGTCTGCCCAGGCCTGTGCCTACTACTCCCTGACCTGTTCCAGAACTCAGAAAACTATGCTGTTTATAGGCAGAATGAATGAAGAGAGTTATAGTACATGGTATAGAAAACCTCAAGGAGACACTCTACCAGTTAGGGTCTGGTTCACTCATATCCAACCTGCTTGGGGCATAGTCGACATGTTAATCTTGCTACACCCACAAAATCCAGTGCAGAAGGCAGTGGGGAGCATACGTCCATGTCCCATTGCTACAGTTTCTTTCCCCTGCAGTGTGCAACCAGCAGACTGCCCCCAATTGGAGGAAAGGCAGGATCCACCTTGTATGGGGAGTAACACTGATGGCAGCTTTGCTTTTAACTATAGGTCCTGAAGATGGCCTAGTCATAAGGCACCTTCAATGACTGTGCGCATCGTTCCCCGTGCCAGCCAGCCTGGACCAGTGGCTTCGTGTTGAGCAGAAGGAACTTGGGCACCCGCTGAACCTCTTTCTGTGCTAATTCATGAGCCAGCAGGATGCGGTCGCTGCGCTGTCAGAACGCCTTCTCATAGCTGCGTACAAAGGCCAAGCAGAGAATGTGGTTCAGCTCATCAACAAGGGCGCCAAGGTAGCGGTTACCAAGGTAACGAGAGAAAAAAACAACACCCTGTACCCATTCTCCAGGAATAGTCTACCTCTGGCCCCATTGTCCAAAGCACTGTCATTTGGTTCAGCTTTTAAAGAATTTGGTTTTAGTTCAGTGGTGGAGGTTTGAAGAGAAAGAATTAAAAATACTTTCATTGCTGTCTTTCGAATAGACTAATTTGTCATTAGCATTGGATAGTCTAAAATCACAGTGTGGCTTTTTCTTCCCTACTTTTTTAGTCAAACAGATCTGTTGGGAGTTGGGTCACAAAAGCTTACTTGATAGAGGGTTGCTGGGCCAATATGCAATTGGGGAAGGGCTTCTCTGCAGGGTCTATCTCCTCATCACCATCTATAAAGTGATGACCTAGACCCGACCAGATCACCCACCACCACGGATGGGCCCTGATTTCATGTGGGCCAGAGATGATGTGTGACAGGACATTGTTTACCCTCACCAGCAGTTAATACCAGGATAGGCAAGGGAGCATACTGGCCAAAGACACTTCTATAATATGGCCAAGAAAAGATAGGCCTGGTACAGTTAGGTGTCAAGTTCACATACACTGTCAAAGATGGGAAACTTGTCATTCCCCAGTGTTGCTCTGAACGCTGTTCACCATTCACTATTGCTCCTCCCTACTTTGGAGAAAGAGGCTTGAGTAACTGACCTGGCAGACAAGCACCTTGTAACATTGTACCCATGGAATGTGCCTTCAAGCCCTCTCCCTCCTGTGCACAGAAATAGTACCACCTGGTAGCTCTTGACTCTGGGCTGGAGAGGGACTGTTCTCCTTTTGGGATACTCACATGTGCTTTCTATATTGCCCAGTGGGGCTCTAGAGGGGAAAAAAAAAGCAGGAACATTTCAGGATGGCCAAGGAGCTCAACAGTGTTCTGCTTGTACACAGTTGCGTATAACTGAAGGGGAAGGGAGACTTCTTAGGCCATCCTTGATCTGCCTGTAGTAGACCTAGGCAAAAGGCAGTGAGTGAGCTCTCTAGTTAAAACACATGCTCACAGCTTTTAACTTTGCTTTTTCAGATTTATTAATTTGTTTTGCTACTGATTATTAGCATGCATTAGTTGTACAAGAGGGATTTCACTGTGACATTTCCACACATGTAAACAATGCATCCTGTTCAGCTCTCCGCTTTTCCCCTTCTCTTTTTAAAAAATAAAATCTTTATTAAACAGAAGGGTTACAGTTATATAAATCAGGCAGAGTACATTTCCTTTTGGACAATGTCACACCTTCCCTGGCTCTCTCCCAGTTTTTCCCTCCCATCCCACCCACCATTTGTATAGTTCATTTTCAATGTGGTGTCCAGTGAGTTTATTTTATTTGTTGCTCTTAGGGCATGAACTCTGGGCCTGGATACTGTCTCTGAGCTTCTAGTGCTCTGTCGCTTGAGCTGCAGATCGGCTTCCAGCCTTTTCTGTGATTAATTGGAGATGAGTCTCATGGATTCAGGCTCCGGTGGCTATGCCTGTAATCATAGCTATTCAGGAGGCTGAGATCTGAGGATCTTGGTTTGAAGCCAGCCTGGGCAGGAAAGTATAAGATTCTTATCCCCAATTAACTACCAGGAAACTGAAAGTGGTACAGTGGCTCAAAGTGGTGGAGCACTAGTCTTGAGCACAAAAGCTCAGGGACAGTGTTCATTCCTTGAGTTCAACCCCCATGACCGGCAAAAAAAAAAAAAAAAAGTCTCATGGACTTTCCTGCCCAGGCTGGCTTTGAACCATAGTCCTCACATCTCAGCCTCCTGAGCTGCTAGTTTGACAGGTGTGAGCCACCAGTACTCAGCTTAACTTTGCTTTTTGGCTAATTGTTCTAGTTGCTACTTCTCTGGGCCTCAGTTTCCTTATCTATGAGACAATAATAATGCCAACTTTCTAAGATTGTTCTAACAATAGTAACTTATTTAAGACAGCACAATGCCTCCTGAAAAACAGGCTTTATCTTTTGCTTTGGGATATGAAGGAGAAAAAAAACTACCCCACAGCTCTATTGAGGTATGCTTTACATACCAAAGCCTGCTCATTTTCAATTGTACAATTCAATAATTTCTAGTATATGTATAAAGTATGTGCAGTCGTGATCACCACTGCTGTGGACTAAATTGTTTTCCTTCAAAGTTTGTAAATTAAAGCTGTAACCCCTAGCCAGGCATGGTGGTGCATACTTGTAATCCTAGTCCTTGAGAGATCAGCGCAGAAGGATGACAAAGTCAAGCCAGCCTCAGCTATATAACAGGTTCCAGGCCAGCTTGGATAACACAGAGAAGTAGTTGCTCTAAATACTTTGGTCAGTAATTAGATTTAGATGAGGTCATGAAGATGGGGCCCTCATGAAGAGATGAGTATCCTTAGAAACAGAGACACCATGAACCTTTACTCCATCATTCCTGAGATGTGAAGATAGATTCAGAGAAGGGCGTTGTCAACTTCTCCACCTCCAGAATTGTGAGAAACTAATTTCTGTTGTTTTGACAGCCTGAGAACCACATCTGAATTTTATAATGCTATCATCCCAGTAAGAAACTTTACCCAGTAGCTATCACTGCCCATTTCCATTGCAGCTACTGGGAGCCATGAATCTACTTGCTGTATCTGTCATTTTACCTTTTTTGAACATGGCCTATAAACAGAATTGTAAAAATACAGAAGTGTTTATTTCTGACTTCCTTTACTTAGCATAATATTTTCAAGGTTCATCCACTTGGTATTGTGGGGCAGCACTTCATACTTTTTTATGGGTTACTATCAATACATTTTTATGCAAATAGAGTGGCCCTCCTTTCTCTGTTGGGGGATACATACATTCCAAGACCCCCAATGGATTACGGAAGTTTCATTATAATACCAGCCCCCAATTGAGCTATACACACATACACACATACCTGTCATGAAAGCATGATTTATAAGTTAGACACAATAAAGTAAGCAATAACCCATAATGAGATAGAATAATTGTGACAGTATACTGTGATAAAATTGCCAGTGTCACTATTTTGGTGCTTTAGGATCATTGTTAAGTGATGTGTTAGACAACCTGTATACTAGGGTACAGTAATGACTAAGATGACAATCAAGGGACTTTTTGCTTTATTTATTTATTTATTTTTGTCGGTCGTGGGGCTTGAACTCTGGGCCCGGGCGCTGTCCCTCAGTGCTTCAACTCAAGGTGAGCACTCTACCACTTGAGCCACAGCGCCACTTCCAGTTTTCTGAGTGGTTTATTGGAGATAAGAGTCTCACAGACTTTCCTGTCCAGGCTGGCTTTGAACTGCAATCCTCAGATTTCAGTCTTCTGAGTAGCTAGGATTACAGACTTGAGCCACAGTGCCTGGCTGCTTTAGTTTGCTTTGGTTAAAATCTTAATTTTTGACCCCCAGTGGCTTTGGATGGTGATCCTTTTACCTCTAGCTCAGGTATGGTGTGTACCACCATACTTGACCCTTTTCCCTTTCTTTTCCTAAGTATAATCTTCCCATTCCAAGAAATAGTTTTATTTATCTTTGTAGAAATATATAAATATATATGTATACAAAATCAGATTTACTTAAAAATAGGCCTATGTTGTACCAAATAACCCTTTTACTTACTGTATTAATCTGAGAGATTGTTGAACCTAGATCTAATTATTTGTTAAAACATCCCTGTGGTCTCCCATTATTTTGCATAGCTGCCTATATTGTTATCAGTCACTTCTGGGCGGTTGGGTTGCCTACAAGTTTGTATTGTCTACTGCTATATGTTCTACAGTGGACATACAAACTGGGTAGATTTCTAGAATGAAAATCCCTAAAACAAACAAACAAAAAGTATTCCTCAAAAATTTAATGCTCCCTTCTAAAGGGCCACACTCTCCTTCCAGTTGAGTGGACCTTGGGGATGCAGGCCAGAGCCTGGAAAGAGAGGGACATGTCATGGTTCTGCTGCTGGTCTATTGATTTAAGCTTCTGGTTTCTAAGAGGTGTGTGGTGGGAAAAGCAGATGTGTTCAAGTCATTGGGCGCATGAAAACTTTCACTTGAGAAAAGGTGTATACAGCATGTATCTTCCAAAGGACTCTATACATTTATTTTTTTTTTAAGATTGACACTTTACATCCTGTGCTGAAGCAATGGTTCTAGGTTCTAATAAGAAGTACAAAGGCTGATGGCTTTCCTTCCTGCTGTACACACACACACACACACAATTTCTACACACACACATCAATTTCCTTGCCGAAGGCACCTTCTGCTACCTGTTCTTCAGTTTTCTTGGAGATAGTGCATGCATAGACACGTAACCAGATGTAGCTCTCTGTGTTTCTCCTTGTTAAGACAAATTATAGGATGCTACACACACACTTCTTTGTTCTATTCAATAGCGTATGTTTCCGCCACTACTTGTTTATCTGATCATCTTTTGATGGACATTTAGGTCATATTCATGTAATGCTCTTACAAATTATGCCGTGGGGACCCATTTTGTTCTGAGATCTTATTGCATAGTGTGATCTATTTGTGGGATGAATTTCTCTAAGGGTCCATGCTGGGTCCAGGTGTGTGTGTACATGTGCGCGGGGCCTCTTGTAATGACAGCTAGTGCCCAAATGCTCTGCATAGAAGCCGTGACAGTTTACACTCCTCCAACCATGTGTGAGGGGCCTGTTCAACACAGTCTACATGAACACTGTGAACCAGCCAGGTGCCAGTGGCTTATGCCTGTAATCTTAGCTACTCAGGAGGCTAAGATTAGAAAGGGTCATGATTCAAAGCCAACCCTGGGCAGACAAGTCTGAGAAATTCTTATCTCCAATTAACCATCGAAAAGCCAGAAGTGAAGCTGTGGCTCAAGATGTAGACATCAGTATTGAGTGAAAAAGCCAAGCAAGTGCCTGAAGTCAAGACCCAGTACAAACACAAAAAAGAAAAAGAAAACTACTATGACCAATGGAACATCATCACTGTCTCTTTCTGATTAACTCTTCTTCCCTCTCTCCTTC